GAAGCTATACTCACAGGTTTGTTAAAAAGATATTGGGAAGCTGGGCATAGGGGTGCACTCCTATAATCCTAGCTGCTCAGGAGGCTGAGGCAGAAGGACCTCAAGTTTGAGACCAGCCTAAGCACTGACTGGATGCAGTGGCACACGCCTATAATCCCAGCAGCTCAGGAGGCTAAGGCAGGAGGCCCAGAGTTCAAAGCCAGCCTCAGAAACTTAATGAGGCCCTACACAACTAAATGAGACCGTGTCTCTAATAAAATATAAAAAAAGGGCTGAGGAAGTCACTCAGTGGTTAAGTATTCCTGAGTTCAATCTCTGGTGACCAAAAAAAAGGAGTGGGGCCTTGGAATGTATGTAGCTCAGTGGTAGAGAACTTGCTAGCATGTGCTGGGCCCTGGGTTCAACCCCTAGTACTACAGAAGTAAATAAATAGATAAAATAGAATATTTCACCTTTTGTGGATACTCACATTCCTCCCTTATGTAAAATAGCACCAATCCTTCCTTCTACCCTAGTGTATCACCTGACATATTCTTTTGATTATTTGCATATTGTTTCTTTCTTCATAGAAGGTAAAGTCCTTAAAAGCAGAGAATCTTCACATTTTTTGCTCATTGCTGCCTTAAACAGTACTTGGCATATAGTAGGCACTTGGGAGAGGGGGAGGGAAGAAACTTGTAGGAACTGAAGGATATGCGTTTCTAAATTCAAAGACTTCACCAAATACCCAGTGCCATAGGTGGAAAGATAGTCCACAGCATGGCACATGTCAGTGAAACATCAGAATTTGAAGGGGCAGGGTGGGGGAGATACAAAACCTTTCAGAGAGGAAAAAATAAACAAGTTATAATCAAAATACATAGATTTGAATTCTATACTTCTTAGAAGCTAGGAGATAGTGGACCAATGCCTTTGAAAGAATGAGGAATAGTGTTCATTCAAAGTAATATACAATAAAGATACTCCAGACCTGCAGTTTTAAAAACATTTATTTATTTGTGTATTTTTCAAAAAGCTACTGTACAAACTAAGGGGATACATAAGACAGAAAAATAAAGAACCCAGTAACTAATGACTCAGCACAAGACAAGAGCAAAGGACATCCTAAGGAAACTGGTGAAGGGAGACACCTGTTCAGAAGCCTAGGGAGCTGCCAGACCTGCTTGAGTGAGACAGAAAACTGCTGAAGAATGTCTCACCTGGTAGATTACTTATAGGTTTGAATATTTTGAGAGAAGAAGCACATTTCTGGTAAAGAGACCAAATAGGATTAATTAGTAATGAGTATGTTGAAAAATAGGCCTATGAAGTAAATGACAATTAACTGTAGGACAGACTAAAAGTTGTATAGGAGAAGAAATACAATATTTACATTGGTGTGTGTGTGTGTGCGTGCACATACACATAAAAGTTCTTATATAATTAAAATTTTGAGTATCTGACGTTATGACTTAACTATGTTGAGAGGACTGGAATCAGGAAGAAGGGCATGAGAGTTCATTCTTCATCTATAGTATAAATTATAGAATACCTAAAACTGACAAATTAAGAAATAGCAGTATAAGCACTAGTTTACAGATATAGAGATAATTATAAGAAAAGGCAAAAACTCCTCTAGGGAGGAGTTTAAAAAGGGACTTTTCAGTAACTGCTTGTTTTGATTTTTATATATTTGATTTTATTATTTTATTTATTTATTTTTGTAGTACCCAAGAAGCTCTGGGTTTGATTCCAGCCCTGTTTTGGTTTTTAAACTATCTTTATAGAATTGTGACTAAACAGGTAGCATTCACTTGAAATTTCTGAGGGTGAATGAAAGAGGAAGTAGATAAAATGAACTATAGACTATACTTTCAGGGAATTTGACTATGGAGAAAGAATTATCCTTCACCCCCTCACACACACAAAAAAAATAGTCTTGTACTTTATTCTCCTTATCTCGAGTATATCTCATTTTCTCTCATCCAAATCAGTTCTTGCCTCTTAAGTGATCTATTAACCTTCCCCAATCTTACCCTTCTCCACACTGTAATCAGAGTTGATCTCTGAGTTCTGTGGTTAAAATTATCTACTAGCTTCCTGTTTCCTTTAAGATAAACTTCAAAATCCTTAGTATGGGGGCTGGGATTGTGGTTCAGCAGTAAAAAGTTTAGCTAATACATTCGAGGACCTGGTTCGATCCTCAGCACCACATAAAAATAAATGAAATAAGAGTATTGTGTGCAGCTACAATTAAAAAAATAAACATTTTTTTAAAAAATCCTTAACATGAACTGCAGAACTCAGTGTGATCTGACCCTGCTCCTCTACCCCTCATCTTCAATACCCTCAACTCCAATCCATCCAAACCACATAGGTTCCCATGATTTACCCTCACCCTTCTGTCTTCCTTACCTTTGCATACCTGGTATCCCAGTCTCCCTCAGTTCATCTGGCAGAATTCCTTCTAATCCTTGTGGAATGACCCCAGGATAATTTGGCCACTGCCACCTCTACCTGCTTCTCCAACACTCACTGGGCTGTGTTCTTCCTTTGTATTCCCATAATGTCCTCTGCATGTTTCTGCTATCACATTTATCACACTGTATTTTTATTGCTTATTTTCTTTCCAGTTTGACTTTTCCTCCTTTTGTCCTCCTGTGGCTGAGCTTACTGCTGGTAGTTGGGTGATTAGAGCTTTCCATTGTATTTTTGGAGGGGGAAAGAGAAGAAACCGAACTTATGTACTTCTTTTTTTTTTTTTTTAATGTCATTGTTTTATTTTTTACATTTTTATTAGTGCATTATAGTTGTACATATTGATGGGATTTGCTATTACATATTCATGCACACGATATAACAATACAGTTTGCCCAATATCATTCCCCAGCACTTCCCCTCCCTCCCTGTTTTTTTAAATATTTTTTTTATATGGACACAGTATCTTTATTTTTATGTGGTGCTGAGGATCGAACCCAGTGCCCCAGATGTGCAAGTCAAGCGCTCTGCTGCTGAGCTATAACCCCAGCCCCCTTCTCCGTTTTTTAACGTTAATAGTAAAGCTCTGAACTTCCTCCTTTTGGTGGTGGGGATTAAACCCATGGCTTTGAGCAACATGTACTCTACCACACAGCTACATCCTGGCCCATAAAATTTAACTTTAGTTTTGGAAATGGGCTAATGCAGAAGGCAAAATGTGACCTGCGTTTAACCTGCGGGGTATTAGTTTGTGGGTCTGTACAAAAGGAAGAAGAGCGAGGACACAAGACACCCTTCTCTTTCGTTCACATTCTTTGCAGTACAACTGTTGGCTCTAGAACACTTGGCCTCTGGAGGAATGACCTAGAAACCACCACCAGTCGGTCCACCGGGCCACCTCCTTCCCTCCCCAGAGCATTCCGAAGTCTAGTGGAATTCCTCCCCAGGCCCTCCGTGACTTATGTACTTCTTTACCAGATCTTCTTCAGTGCTTATACTGATTTAACTGCTTGCTTCTGGGTTGTGCTTAGTGCAGTTCATATATGCCTCTGTTCTACTTTTAAAGAACAGCCCTGATCATACCACCACCTTACTTTCCCTTCAGTGACTACCCTTACTTTGGGGCTGAAGGTCAGGTATAGTTTATGGGGCTTTCTTATCTGGCTTGTGTCTCCTGAGTCATCCTCCCTTGGACTTTGAATTCCTCTAACATGTCCTGTTCCCATGCATGCAGCTTCATTTATTTAAAACAGACTTCTCTCTACCATTTAATCTGGCTGACTACTTCTGATCTTTGAGGTTTCTCTTCATCTTAGATAGCATTTTCACCAGTAAACTTTCCCTGACCAAAGCCCTCATTCCACCTCCATCTGGGGCACTCCTCCTCTGTCTTGCTGTGGCACCTGGTTAATCATTTCTGCCATTGACCTTAGCCACCACCATCCAGTGTGAGTCTTTTTCCTTCTGCTTTATTCCCCCATCTCTGGCTTAGTGCCTGAACCTAGTATGGACTCTTTATAACACTTCTGTTTCCTCCAGTGGCCTGTGAAGCTCCTGTGTGTGGCACAAAGAAAGTGCTAAGAGAATGTTTGATTCAGTAAATGACTGTTTTTACCTGGACTGTTTATACCTGGAGTATAGCAGACAGAGAGAAAGAAATGGATCCCCTTCCAAAAAAACAAACAAACAAACAAAAACACCTTTTCATGTTCTGCATCATCCAAAGCCTCTATTCTTTGCTCTGAGCAGTTCGAAGGCTCATTTTTGCTACTTTTAAGTACTTTTAAGGATAATTTATTGAAATTATTTAACTGAAGCTTCAAAGATAAAATAGTATTCAGCCCTCACCTGGGAATAATAATGGCTTTAATTTTATAAAGTGTGTGTATGTGTGTGTATAAAATCAGGTATTTTGATCTTGGCTTGGGTGAGGGGGGCGGCAAGCAGTGCTGGAAATCAAACCCATGGCCTAGAGCATGCTAGGTAAGTGGCGGCACTGAGCTACATCCCCAGCTTCAAGTCAAGAATTTTAAAGGAATTAGATAGATAAGCCTAGAAACTAGATCCTGGGCAGTTCTCCTTCATAAGATTGATCTATGAAAGTATTGCTGCTTGTGAAATCTGAGACAAAACCCACCGCATCTGAGCATCTGAGTATCTGAGTTAGACTTTTTGGTTTAAGCAGATTTAGCCTACATAACCTATTTATTTTGTCTCTGAAAACTTCATTGGGAATTTTAATATTTAAGTTTCTTCTTGACACTAAATGATTTTTAACTTATAGTTTTTTAAAAAAATTGTTTAGTAAAATTGAAAAAAAATGTCTGAATGGTACTGCTTTTGTTTTGTCTGCATGTTTTCTTCCTCTTATCTATAAATGTGATGGTATTTTGTCTTACTCTTTGTTACTTGATGCATAAATGTTTTTATTTGACAGTATAATTAACATAATTTAATCTCTAATGATAAATTTTATAATATTCTAACTAGAGGATTTTTTTCTTTGTTTCTCCCCTGTTTGGTTTTTTTCCCCTTGAACCTAGTTATTGTGGAATTACAAGCTGAACCTGACTACTGATCCCAAGTTTGAGTCTGTGGCCAGAGAGGTTTGCAAATCAACCATATCAGAGGTAGGTTTTAAAATAATTTCATAAATATTAAATGACTCAGAAGAGAAAATTATATCTGTTGACCAGAACAGTCTTTAAGAAAGGAATAACTTGGTTATTTTTATCTTTCTTGGAAATTGACAACTGACTTGATTCAGAGATAGGAAGCGGGGTGTAATTAAACTTCTTTTCAAGATCAGATTCTCTCAGTCCCAACCATCCAGAGCCACTGCTGAGGTTATCAGTGCTGCTCCCACACCTGTTACAATCTGCCAGACCAGAGGTCAATCCAAACCCCTGGAAGCGTCACACTCCTCAGTGCTTTGGCTCTGCATTTGGATCAATTGAACCACAGAAGTATAAGCTTCAGTAAGGAGCTAGTGCTATAAAGGTTAAAGGTATCAATGTTTACATATTTAGAAATTGATACTGAGTATAAAGAAAAAAATTAATGTACAGATATTAAGGGAAACTTTAATGATATTAATGAAAATTGTGGTATTTGAGTATCTTTTTTTTTTAAAGAGAGAGAGAATTTTAATATTTATTTTTTAGTTTTTGGCGGACACAACATCTTTGTTTGTATGTGGTGCTTGAGGATCGAACCTGGGCCACACACATGCCAGGCGAGCGCGCTACCGCTTGAGCTACATCCCCAGCCCCTTTGAGTATCTTTTTTGTATTTGGGTAATTTTTTATTTTATTTTTATTTTTTGGTGGTGCTAGGGATTGAATCCAGGGCTTCTTGCATGATAGGCAAGCACTGCCACTGAGCCATAACGCCAGCTATGCCGTAATTCAAGTGACTCAGGAGACTGAGACAAAATTAAAAGGGCTGGAAGTTTAAGCACCCCTGGGTTCAATCCCACCACATCTCCAGCCTTTTTTATTTTTTATTTTAAGACAGAGTCTCACTAGGTTCTTACAGTCTTGTTAAGTTGCTGAGGCTGGCTTTGAACTTGTGATCCTCCTGCCTCCCCTTCCTGAGCTGCTGGCGTTACAGGCACACATGCACAGCAAAATTTGTTTCTTATTTATTTATTTAGGTTCTGGAAATTTAACCCAGGGGCACTTTTCTTCTGAGCTACAGACCAGCTCTTTTTATTTTTTTAATTTTGATATAGATTCTCACTAAGTTGCTAAGCCTAGCCTCAAACTTTCAATCCTCCTGCCTCAGTTTCTGGGATTACAGACATGTACTACTATACCCCACTTGAACATTGTTTTAAACATGTTTCTGTTCTAGACCACAACAGATAAACTTGTATTCTACTAAGTTCAGAAATGTGTGTCCAAATCCATAGTTAATGCAGAGCATATTAAATGTTATTAAGAATTAATATTAGGGGGCTGGGAATGTGGCTCAAGTGGCAGCGTGCTCGCCTGGCATGTGTGCGACCCGGGTTCGATCCTCAGCACCACATACCAACAAAGATGTTGTGTCCGCCGAGAACTAAAAAATAATATAAAAAAAATTCTCTCTCTCTCTCTCTCTCTCACTCTTTCTTTAAAAAAAAAAAAAAAAAAGAATTAATATTAGGGATTGGGGTTGTGGCTCAGTGAGAGAGTGCCTGCCTCACACATGTGAGGCATTGGGTTCGATCCTCAGCACCACATAAAATAAATAAAATAAAGTCTGTCTACAATTACAAAAAAATTAAAAAAAAAAAAAGAATTACTATATCTTGATTTAAATTTAGCACGGATATGGTAACCTAGTATAACAAAAGGAAGGAATAAACGGGTTGGGGAAACCAGAAATTCTATAATGAAATGCTAATCATTGCTGTAATAGTAGTTGTCCTAAATACAAAAAGGTTTGGTAGATTCTAACATATTAACTTGAAACAAAGTATGCTTTTCTTCTTCAGCAATATCCCTAGTATAAATTTCAACAGAATCTCTCCCTGTGGTCATTAGACTTACCTAATGACAGTAGTTTGCTGTGTAGCTTGGCTTGGACACATAGCTAGACTTCCAGTTCTACCTCTGTTTTCCTGACCTGCTCCTTTGATTCATCTCCTCACTGCCTACTACATTCTGCACATAGTTAAAAGGACTTCTCTACTTGTCAGTTATAGATATTAGCATCTCTTCTTACTCCATTTAGAAATTGATTCTACCTAAGTGTTTGGGTATGATTGTATTTTCTTACAGAACACATTAATCATGTATTTCTTAAAAGGCACAATAATCTGGATAGCCATGAATGTCTATAAAAAAACGTCTATGTCTCTTATGCTATTACACCGTAGTCAACACAGAACACTTCTGACATCAGATGTGTGGGGACTTGCCCACTAGTGAGTGAGCTGTTTGCAGGGATACCAGCCTAGTGTCTTCTAATTCAATTCAGTTCTGACATTATCTACCTGCAAACTGTCAGATCTTACAGGTTGAGGCTCATTTCCTAAGATGTCCCCACCCCTTTAGGTCACAAGCACCAGGTGGTTTTACCTGCTTCTGAATGAACAGTTATAAATCAGAGTTTCCACAACCCCCTTAGGTTCTATTAATTTGCTCCAGTGGTTCACTTAACTTATGGAAACACATTTACTGATTTATTGTAAAGGCTATTTCAGAGGATCCAATGAAGAGATGCATCCATCAAGGTATGGGGGGTGGCACCTCACACTCCAGGAACCTCTGCATGTTTAGTTCTTGGGAAGCTCTCTAAATCCTGTCCTTTAGGACTTTTATGGAGACTTCATTGCATAGCTGATGCCAAACTGAGTGAGGAAACTCAGCAAGGGCCGAAGGACTTTAGCACTCTTCTTGGCCTCTCCATGCAGCTTTCCTTTCTCCCTCTAGGGAATGGGGAAGCATCCTTGTGGAATGAACAGGATCTTATAACCTGGTACTGGACAAGGAAGGATTTAAAAATTTAATTTACCAGGAGGATTATAGTCTCTATGACCTGACTTGGGGAAGAGAAATTCTAATTTCTGTGACCTGCTTTGGGAAGGAAGTTGTAAGCCAAGAACTATGGACCAAAAAAAAAAAAGGCGTATCTGTTATAATATCACAGAATGGCACATTATTCTTTTTTTAAAATTTTTTATTCTAATTAGTCATATATGACAGCAGAATACAGTTCAATTCATATGACACAAATAGAGCACAATTTTTCATGTCTCTGGTTGAAAACAAAGTATAAGTCACACAATTTGTGTTTTCATACATGTGCTTAGGGTAATGATGTCCATCTCATTCCACCGTCTTTCCTACCCCCTTATCCCCTCCTTTTCCCTCCCTCCCCTTTGCCCTATCTAGAGTTTGTCTATTCTTCCCATGGTCCCCTCCATCCGAATTATGAATCAGCATCCTATGCTAGAGAAGATATTTGGTTTTTGGGATTGGATTACTTTACTTAGCATTATATGCTCCAACTCCATCCATTTACCTGCAAATGCCATGATTTTATTCTCTTTTAATGCTGAGTAGTATTCCAAATTGTATATAAATACCACAGTTTCTTTATCCATTCAACTACTGAAGTGTATCTAGGTTGGATCCACAATTTAGCTATTGTGAATTGTGCTGCTATAAACATCGATGTGGCTGTGTCACTGTAGTATGCTGTTTTTGAGTCCTTTGGGTATAAACCAAGGAGTGGGATAGCTGGGTCAAATGGTAATTCCATTCCCAGTTTTCCAAGGAATCTCCATACTGCTTTCCAGATTGGTTGCACCAATTTGCAGTCCCACCAGCAATGTAAGAGTGTGCCTTTTCCTCCACGTTCAGCATTTATCGTTGTTTATATTCTTTTTAAAAAAGATATTTATTTTTTAGTTTTAGGTGGATACAATATCTTTATTTTATTTTTACGTGGTGCTGAGAATCAAACCCGGTGCCTCATGCATGCTAGGCAAGCATGCTACCACTTGAGCCACATCTCCAGCCCTGTTTATATTCTTAATAGCTACCATTCTGATTGGAGTGAGATGAAATCGTAGTTTTGCTTTGCATTTCTCTAATTGTGAGAGATGTTGAACATTTTTTTAATGCATTTGTTGATTGATCATATATCATTTTCTGAGAAGTATCTGTTTAGTTCCTTGGCCCATTTATTGATTGGATTTTTTTTGGTGTTTTGATTTTTTAGTTCTTTATATATCCCAGAGATTAGTGCTGTATCTGATGTGCATATGGTAAAAATTTGCTCCCATTCTGTAGGCTCTGTATGCACTTTACTGATTGTTTTTTGTTTTTTGTTTTGTTGTTGTTAGTTATACAAGGGCACAATATCTTTATTTTTGTTTATTCATTTTTTAATAGTCTCTGCATCTCAGAATAAAGGTGTTTTATTTTAAATGTTTTGAGATACCACACATAGTGGGTGACAATTGGGACTCAGAACATGGTATTCTGATGTATGATACTTTGGCAAGTGAATACTTTGAATTGAAGGAAATTGGAAAAGCCTCAAAACCAAGTCTTTTTGACCTTCTCTCACCCTCCTGAATTCTGCCCCTCTGTCTCCTTCAAAGCCAATTGTTTATTCATTTTTATGTGGTGCTGAGAATTGAACCCAGTGTCTCACATATGTGAGGCAAGAGCTCTGTCACTGAGCCACAACCCCAGCCCTTCACTGATTGTTTCTCTTGCTGAGAAGAAGCTTTTGAGTTTGAATTCATCCCATTTATTGATTCTTGATTTTATTTCTTATGATGTAAGTGTCTTGTTAAAGGAAGTTGGGGCCTAATCTGACATGATATAGATTTGGGTCACCTTTTTCTTCTATTAGGTTCAGGGTCTCTGGTTTAATTTCTAAGTCTTTGATCCACTTTGAGTTTTGTGCATGGTGAGAGAGATAGGGTTTAATTTCATTTTGTTGCATTTGGATATCCAGTTTTCCCAGCACCATTCATTGAAGAAGCTATCTTTTCTCCAATATATGTTTTTGGCATTTTTGTCTAATATAAGATAACTGTATTTTTGTGGGTTTGTCTCTGTGTCTTTTATTCTGTACCATTGGTCTACAAGTCTGTTTTGGTGCCAATACCATGCCATTTTTGTTACTATAGCTCTGTAGTATAGTTTAAGGTCTCGTATAGTGTTTTATTCTTCTTGCTAAGGATTGCTTTAGATATTCTTGGGTCTCTTATTTTTCCAGATTTCATGACTGCTTTTTCTATTTCTGTGAGTAATATCATTGGGATTTTTATTGGAATTGCATTAACATCTGTAGAGTGCTTTTGATAGTATGGTCATTTTGACAATATTAATTCTGCCTATCCAAAGAGCAAGGTAGATTGTTCCATCTTCTAAGGTTTTCTTTGATTTCTTTCTTTAATTTGTCTGTAGTTTTCATTGTAGTGGTCTTTCACCTCTTTTGTTAGGTTGATTCCCAAGTATTTTATTTTTTTGAGGCTATTGTAAATGGGGTAGTTTTCCTCATTTCCCTTACAGAGGATTTGTCACTGATATACAGAAATGCCTTTGATTTATGGGTGTAGATTTTATATCCTGCTACTTTGCTGAATTCATTTACTAGTTTTAAATGTTTTCTGGTGGAATTTTTTGGGTCTTCTAGGTATAGAATCATATCATCAGCAAATAGTGCTAATTTGAGTCATCTTTTCCTATCTATATCCCTTTAATTTCTTTCGTCTGTCCAATTACTCTGGCCAGTGTTTCAAGAACTGTGTTAAATAGAAGTGGTAAAAGAGGGCATCCCTGTCTTGTTTCTGTTTTTAGAAGGAATGCTTTCAATTTTTCTCCATTTAGAATGATGTTGGCCTGGGGCTTAGCATAGAGTGCTTTTACGATGTTGAGATGTGCTTCTATTATCTCTAGTATTTCTAGTGTTTTGAACATGAAGGGCTGCTGTATTTTGTCAAATGCTTTTTCTGCATCTATTGAGATGATCATATGATTCTTATCTTTAAGTCTATTGATGTGATGAACTACATTTATTGATTTCCATATGTTGAACCAACCTTACATCCTTGGGATAAATTCCACTTGATAATGGTGCACTATCTTTTTGATATGTTTTTATATTCGATTTGCCAGAATTTTTGCATCTGTGTTCATTAGAGAAATTGGTTTAAAGTTTTTTTTCTTTGATGTGTCTTTGCCTAGTTTTGGCCTCTTATTAGCCTCTTAGAATAAGTTTGGAAGTATCTGTTATAATATCACAGAATGACACTTTTTTTTTTTTTTTTTTTGGTACCAGAGATTGAACCCAGGGGCATTTAACCACCAAGCTGCATCCCCAGCCCTTTTTAATTTTATTAGAGACAGGGTCTCCTGAGTTGCTTAGTGACTCACTGAGTTGCTAAGACTGGGTTTGAACTCATGATCCTTCTGCCTCAGCCTCCTGAGTAGTTGGGATTACAGATGTGCAACTCTGAATCCAGCTACATTATTATTATTTTTTTAACCTTTATTTATTTATTTTTATGTAATGCTGAGGATAGAACCCAGCACCTTGCACGTGGTAGGTAACCAGTCTACTGCTGATCCACAACCCCAGCCCCAATGAATATATTTCTAAATGCTTTCCTTTTTTCCTCCCAATTAAAAAGTTAGGAAATCAATAGGAAAGTACCAAATGTCTCTTTCTTAGAAGTTATTTGATTCAGGGCTGGGGTTGTCTCAGTAATAGAACGCTTGCCTCACATGTGTGTGAGAAACTGGGTTCGATTCTTAGCACCACATATAAATAAATGAATAAAATAAAGGTCCATCAAAAACTAAAAAAATTTTGGAAAAAAAAAGTTGTTTGACTCAAGCACGGAATATTTGTGTAAATCAACCACTTTCCCACTTTCTTTTGAACAGATTAAAGAATGTGCAGATGAACCAGTTGGAAAAGGTTACATGGTTTCCTGCTTGGTGGATCACCGAGGCAACATCACTGAGTACCAGTGTCACCAATACATTACCAAGATGACGGCCATCATTTTCAGTGATTACCGTTTAATCTGTGGTTTTATGGATGACTGCAAAAATGACATCAACATTCTGAAATGTGGCAGCATTAGGCTTGGCGAAAAGGTATCACCAAAGAGATCTTATAAACTTATGAGCTTGATAAATGAAAATCATTGTGTAATTCACATGGGAAAAATTTAGGAATAGAGTGAACAAGGTTCAAATTAAAAAAAAAAAAAATTGCCCAGACACCTCTAAAATCTAAGACTAATTGACTTATGAATGCATTTCGTGTGTTCCTAACAAAATGTTTCAAAACTGTGTATGGGGAAGTAAAGGAGTCAACATCTGCGAAGACAGTGTTATCTTCAAAGTATAATTACAACATGCATTTGGCAAAGAGAGACCAGAGTTCTCTGTTTCTCTGCACATAAACTCACTGTTAACATGCTTTAGTCAGCTTTTATGTCTCCGAACAAAATACTTAACAAGAACAACTTAAAGGAGAAAACATTTATTTGGGGCTCACAGTTTCATAGGTCTCAGTCCTAGACAGCCAGCTCCATTGCTCTGGGCTAGAGGTGAGACAGAATATCATAGGAAAGGACCCAGCAAAGGAAAGCTGTTCAGCTTCTCTTGAGGCTAGGAAGCAGAGAGAAAGGGGGAGGAAGAGGCCACACACAGATGAACCCTTCTAGGGCACTCCCCCAGTGACCCACCTCCCGTGCCCTACCTGCCTACAATTACCACCAGCCAGTCCATTCAAACTAGGATGGCTGATTAGGTTATAGCTCATGCAGTCTTCACTTCTGAACATTACTGCATTAACAGGAGCTTTTGTAGAAAACTTCACATCCAAACCATAACATACTATAAAAAAATTACTTAGCAGGCATACTGGTTGGTCTGCATTTGTAAAATTAGGTATTTAAATATTAGAAAAGGTACTTCTAACTTATCAGAAGAAAGGTGATCTGTACATATGATATATTATCTTCATCTCAGAAGAACTGATTATAGTAAAGACAGAAAAGAACTGCCTAACTAGTTTCTTCCTCAGTTATATCTGATCTTTGAAATTGTTAACCTGTTAAACAGAAGGACACAATGAAGGTTTGGCCAATTTATTCAGAATTTGTTTGCTTAGCAAAAAACGAAAGAAACTCGAGAAAAGTAATGAATGCCAGTGGGAGACTTGGTCTGAGACCCGTGGCATCAGCTATTAAATGCTGCTGCTCATTAATCTTTTCTTTAAAACATAGGATGGAAAATAAACTCATTTGTTTCTTTAACCTCTGTCTATTGTTTGCAGGCATCTTTAATAAAGGGGGCATGGTATTAGAATCCTGAGCACACTAGCTCAGATGAAGGGTTTTGACTGTCACCAAGCCTTGGTGCCTGTCCTCCATATCATCACAGATTCCGGAGCCCTTTCATAGATACAGTCTGTGTAAGCTTGGCATACTCCTTTCACACAGCTAAAGAAAGGCCAGGGTTTTGTTTTTTTGTTGTATTGGTATTGAACCTAGCGTTGTTCACCACTGAGCTACATCCCCAGTCATTTTTTAAATTTATTTGAGACAGGGTCTGTCTGAATTGCTCAGGCTGGCCTCTAACTTGTGTTCCTCTTACCTCAGCTTCCTGAGAAGCTGGGAAAACAGGTGTGCACCATCACACTCGGCCATTTTCATCTTTTGATATACCTATCAGTTAGGTACAATTTCTGTATCACTACCTTGCCATCAAAGGTTTTATTGTATTTAGGGGACAGTGAGATGGGCTCATGCCTGCACTTATGTCTCAGAAAAAGCATGTTCCTTCCAGTGTAATTTGGTACCACTGCATTTAAAAAATGAGAAAGGCATATCCTCAGCCCTTCTTTGCTTTTTCTAACTGTAGTTTGCTTCTCCGTGGCCAGTTATGTAGATAACTAGATAATTTTATCCTGAAAATTAGTTAATTGGCTTCTGACCACAGAAGAAAACAATCTCATCAATTTCAAATGTACTGCTGATGGAACTTGAAAACTGTACCATGACTGGCTTTGAACTGACCTCCTCCAAAGGTCAGAGGGGAGGATTTTTGGATAATCTGTATTGTGCCTATATATGAACATGTCATTCAAAGCTATGTACTTTTTCTCAAAATGTTAATATATATAAATTGTAGAACAAAGAAGATACATTAATAAAACCTTTAACATGTTCAGAATAAATGTTGTTAAAATGAAAGGAAAGATTCCCAAAAGTAAACGTGTGAATGATTCACATCATCCAAAGAAAAAATAAAGAGTGTGTCCTCCAAAAAGGAACTTAATTGTAGATCTGTGCCACAGTATGACTGCTTTTATACTTTCAGTAATTATATCATTTTATTATTTCCTGTTTTTAACCAATTACTTGGAGTAACCGAAACATTCTCTTTCTACCAATGTAGATTACAGGAGACACCAGAAACACTGAAATAGAAAATGGTTTATATCAGAGATAAAAAAAACTGAGCTCTTGCCAGGCATGGTGACTCATTCTTATAATCCCAGCTACTTGGGAGACTGAGGCAAGAGGATTGCAAGTTGGAAGCCAGACTGGGTAGCTTAGCAAGACACTGTCTCAAAATAAAAATTTAAAAAGGGCTGAGATGTAACTCAGTGATAGAGCACTTGCCTACTTGAGTTTATTCTCCAGTACCATACACACACACACACACACACACACACACACACACACACACACACATATACTTACATGAGTTCTTCCCTACTATTTTGATGTTAATTTTTTTTTTTTTTTGAGAGAGAGAGAGAGAGAGAATTTTTAACATTTATTTTTTAGTTCTCAGCGGACACAACATCTTTGTTGGTATGTGGTGCTGAGGATCGAACCCGGGCCGCACGCATGCCAGGCGAGCGCACTACCGCTTGAGCTTAATGGTAGAGTGTTTGCCTAGCATGTTCAAGGCCCTAGGTTTAATCTTTAGCATAGTTGCGAATTCCTCCAACCCTAAACCTTCCCCCCAAAATATTGTAAGTCTAGGATCACTTGTTAATCATAATTCCAATGTGTTTATTAATAACTAAACCTAAGTAATTTTAATATCTCATAAGTAATGTATAAGTGTGAGTCCACCTCATTTGTTTTTACTAAAATTTAATAATTAGCCATTTAGTAGTCTTTGTTGTCAAATATCTGTATATATTTCAGTTATTAACTCAAATGGTTGACCTAAATAGCTCAGAGACTCTGGGAAACTCCTGAAATATCTTTTATTGAAATATATATTTATCTGAAAGATATAATAAGTGAAAATATCCAGTGGAAGTGATGTTATAACCTAATACCAATGTGAGACTTACATTTGCTCTAATTAAAATGAAATCTTGGATTCCTCCTGGGGTTCTTAAGGCATCATGATGTTGTCTTAAATCTAAAAAGAAGCAAAGGGTACCATTAAGAAATACAATCGTACTAAATATTTAATCTTTCTGGTGACATATTTAACATAATTATAAACCCCAAATATTGCCAGGAAACACTTGGCTGACTCATTAATTGAAATCATTTTCTTGCCCTGTGATGCTTGGATTAAAATCTGAACTTCAAGAGTTGACTAGCATACTATTATTTTTAACTTCCTTTTGACGATTTGTGACAGTCTCAGTATGATCCACAATTTGTTAGATCTTATGATGAAAAAAATGCAAGTTCTTTCTTTTGATTCTTATAGGCAGAAGTGTGGTTCTGTAGGCTTTTTATACATTTTCATATATGATCAAGATTTAAAATTTTTAAATTGGAAGAAAAAATCTAATTGCTAGTGGCTATGTAAGTTTTTATGACCTACTAAACTTTGGTATAGGACATTATTTTATAACATAACAATGTTTATTACAATCACTGATGTACTGTAACAAGTAAGTGACTGATAGGTTTCTATCCTTTGATTTGTTTCTTCTTTGAGAGGTAGAAATGGATAGGCCTTGCTTAAGTGGCATAATTAGGAAGAAAAAAATAAGCCTATTCCAGATTGCTGGGGTGTGTGGCTACTTTTTTCTCTCCATCCCTTTTGTCATTCATCCCTCAGTTTTCTTCTCCAAAAAAACTTCTCAGTCATCCCAGGTTTCTAAGCATCAAATATATTAATTTATAGCTAGTGAAAAAGGTGAGGTCCTGATAGAGAATAGGAAGGTCTGCCAACCTGCTAGTGCATTGTGCTTCTTAATCAGTTTTGGATTATCAGATGTTTTGAAAACTTGAAACCTCCTCATAAAAATGTACAAAACCCACACATAAATTCTAAGAGTTTCATAGATCCCACCCACCCACATTTTGCAGCTCAGACGAGTTGCATAATTCCTTTAAGCCTCTGTTTGTTCATCTGTATAATAGATAAAAAACTCTGTCCCCGATTCATGGGTATTTTAGAAGAATATGAGCATTTGCGTGGAAACAGTTGAAAATAAATGTGTTACAGAACAAATTTTGTTACAGTAAGATAGAAAATATGTGCATATAATATTCTTTTATATATTACATATATATATATTCTTTTATTGAAATTTTGCCTAAAGTAGTTGTTTCCCTACCTGGTTTTCACAATTTTTATATTATATACTTATGGTTTCATGGACTTGTATTCTATCATAACAATTTATATGTGTGTATATAAATAAATGGTAACACTATTTTCAGCTGCTTTAGATTACCTATATCAATGGTTATACCTCTCAAGTTGTAGCATATATTATAACTATAGAAGATTTGAATTTTGAATAAAAAATATCTAGGGAAGTTTCTTCTATTTTGGATGAATGAATACTTGTGGTAGCTGTAGGGTGATACAATATATAATTAAAGATAATTGGATGATCTTAGGAAAATTCAGAGTCAGTTTGTATAAACCATGGTTATCGTGTTAAATCACGTTAAGAAAAATCCAAAACATCAAAGTGAGTATTACACTACAATTGGTACATATTGGAGACAGAGGGTCTTATAACATCTTTCTTTAATGGATTTTGTTGTTTGTTTTGGGTTTGGGGGGGTTTTGGTCCTGGTGATCCAACCCAGGACCTTGCATTTGATAACACATGCTGTGCCACTGCGTTACGTCCCCAGCCTGGTTTCTTGTTTTTTAACTTGATGAGAAGCACTATTATTTGGGAAATATCTGACTTTTAGAGGTTAATTTACAGAGATTTCTGCAATGGTGTTTCAATATTAACATGAACCAGATCATTGGGCTGATATTTCTTGAGAATTTTCTGACATTTAACCTTTAAATTCTAGTGCTAACCTGTTCTTAAAATTTCCAGAATGTATTTTTCCATTTGTAGCATATAACATATATATTCTAGCTGAAGATTATTAAGGGCTTTTTTTTTTAAACTTGCATTAATGTGGTAGATTCTCACTTGATTTCTCAGAATATTAATAATTTAACCATGTTGGGGGTTTTGTTACATTTTTTTCTTTTAACTAAATGATGTTTATTAGTATTATATATATATATATATATTAGTATCCTTCCTATTTTAGGATGCACATTCTCAAGGTGAGGTGGTATCATGCTTGGAGAAAGGCCTGGTGAAGGAAGCAGAAGAAAAGGAACCCAAGATTCAAGTCTCTGAACTCTGTAAGAAAGCCATTCTCCGGGTGGCTGAGCTGTCCTCGGATGACTTTCATTTAGACCGGCATTTGTATTTTGCTTGCAGAGATGATCGGGAGCGTTTTTGTGAAAATGTGAGTCAGCCTAGAAGCTGTTCTTCTTTCTTCCTTTTCTTTTTAAATATCTTTAATACTGTATTCCAAAATAAAATAAACCACAACAAACCCTGAGATGCAGAAAAGCCATAGAAATGAGAGATGGAGTCAGTTCTAGGAAAACAGAAAACACTGTTGGATGCTCAGCCTAGATGATTTATCATCTTGTTAACAGTTGGCTTCTAATAGTCTCCACACATTATTTTTTCTACTTTGTCTCACTTATCAATTTCAATTCTTCTGTCCATTTTATCTGTAGAAATTTTATTTTATTGTTGAATTCTGTTCACATTTATTATATGGTTAAAACTGACACATGCATATTTACATGGTTTGGGCTAGTACCTTCTTTAAAAGCCAAATTCTTGATTACTACCTGATGACCTGGAGGCCTTGAGTATGGGGGGCAAGTGCTCTATGTCACTGATCTGTGCCCCTATATCCTATAGACAACTTTCTGACACTTTATAGTCTACATTCTCACATCAAAAGACTGAGAGTGACTTGTATATACTTCCTCTCTGCCTGATATTTTGGATTAACACATTAACTTTCAGAGCCACTGAAGAGTTTTTGTTGGTGCTAGGGATTAAACCCAGGGCCTTATGCATGGGAGGCAGGCACTCTACCAGCTGAGCTATATCTGTAGCCCTGATTGTTTTATTGATGCTAAAAGTTGTAAGAAAGGAGATTTATTTGACACTTCTCTTTGTTCTCTAACTGTATTTTCTAGAAAGTTTTATATGAGATCGTAGATGATGCACAATTCCTTAGTAGTTACTTAGCTAATAGTAATAATAACAACAACGTGTGTGTTTTATCTTACAGACACAAGCTGGTGAAGGCAGAGTGTATAAGTGCCTCTTTAACCATAAATTTGAAGAATCTATGAGTGAAAAGGTATTAATTTGGAACAACTTTATTAATTTCTTTTTCTTTTTTTTTTTTTTATACCAGAGATCAAACCCAGGGGTGCTTAACACCGAGGCACATCTACAATCCCTTCCCCTTTTAATATTTATTTTTTAATTATAGGTAGACACAATAACTTTATTTTATTTTATGTGGTGCTGAGGATCGAACCCAAGGCCTCATGCATGCCAGGCGAGCGCTCTGCCTCTGAGCCCCAGCCCCTGCAACCCTTTTTTAATTTTAATTTTGAAACAGAGTCTCTCTAGGTAGATGAGGACCTCTCTTAGTTGTTAAGGCTGGCCTCAAGCTTGTAGTCCTCCTGCCTCAGCCTCTCAAGCTGCTGGGATTATAGGCATGTCCCACCACACCCAGCTATTAATTTCTTAAAAGCTTTCACAAACCCTTTATATAGTTGCCTCACAGTTTCCATAGGAGGGTTAGTTCCAGGACCCCTGAAGATACCAAAATCTAAGGATGCTCAAATCCTTTATGTAAACAGGCATAATGTTTGCATATAAGTGGGCACATTCTCTGTATGCTCTAAATCACTCTAGGTTAGTTACAATATTTAAATAATGTAAAAAAAATAATGTGAAATATTATATAAATGTGCCTCACAGGTAAACAGCTTTTTAATTTTTTAGTAATATCTCATTAAACATTCTTATTACTGTTTTGTCTTGGAATGAATGCCTACCCATTTACTCCTGCCTTATGTCACACTGGTTTCACTTACCTGTGCTAAATTTTAACCAAATGTAAAGACCAGCATTTTAGACTACAGATATTATATATGCTTGCCTGTGAGTCTCCATGCTTGTCTCAGAAATTCTTGTGAACAGCTGAATACGTGAGTGGTCTTACAGCTCTCTTGCTGTGTTCTTTCTTCAGTGTCGAGAAGCACTGACAACCCGACAAAAGCTGATTGCCCAGGATTATAAAGTCAGTTATTCATTGGCCAAATCCTGTAAGAGCGACTTGAAGAAATATCGGTGCAATGTGGAAAACCTTCCTCGGTCCCGGGAAGCCAGGCTCTCCTACCTTCTAATGTGCCTAGAGTCAGCTGTACACAGAGGTAAGAATTCATTTCTTTTTATCCCTTTTTAATAATTAATAATGCAAATGCAAAAAATTTTTATACCGAATTCATTTTTAGATTTGTATTCTAAAGCTTCTTGTTTCCTAGTATTCTTTTTTTTTTTTTTTTTGGTACCAAGGATTGAACTCAGGGACACTCGACCACTGAGCCACATCCCTAGCCCTATTTTTAATTTTTATTTAGAGACAGGGTCTCACTGAGTTGCTTAGAGCCTTGCTTTTGCTGAGGTTGGCTTTGAACCCTTGATCAGACTCCCAAGTTGCTGGGGTTAAAGGCATGTACCACTGCACCCCGCCAGTATTAATTTTTAAACACATATTGTGTAGCATTTTTAGGAGGATTAGTGTAACATAAATATTTCGTGTGTGAGCTCTGGGTCAGAGATACTTGACTTCAAATTATGGCTATATCACTAAACTAACTGTCTGGGTGGCCATTTTTATGTTTTTTTTTTGTTTTGTTTTGTGTGTTTTTTTTTTAAAAATCTCTTACATTTTCCCAGTGGCATTTACAGCACAATAAAGCAAGGGTGGTGATGGCTAGAGTGAATATTTACAGTATAGTCTTTTGTACAAGCTTTAACTGTGTAAGCCAATGAGGATTGTTTTTTAGCTTTCATTTATACCCCTAATGGTTCTCTTATTGATAAAACTCTTTGATAATCTCTGTCAGTGGTTGAGCATGTGCTAATACGGATATGGTCCCGAGTTCAGTCCCCAACACCAAGAAAAAAACAACCTACATATTTCCTTTGGCAGAGCATTTGCATTATTAGTTTAGGAAATACATGTGTGTGATAAAGAAAAGAATACTGGCAGAATAAACCTGAGTTTCTAGAGTCTCCATGCGCTTTATGCTGCTAAAGCTTTTGCTGAGTCCTAAACTTTTCAGTCTGGATATTGTATGACTGGCCTGTTCTAGACTGAAACAATTTTTTTTTAAGATTTTTTTTTTAACTTGTAGATGGGCACAATACTTTATTTATTTATACGGTGCTTAGGATGGAACCCAGTGCCTTACGCAGGCGAGACAAGCGCTCTATCACTGAGCCACAACCCTAGCCCAGAAACACAATTTATTTATTTATTTTAGTTGTAGTTGGACACAATACCTGTATTTTATTTTACTTATTTTTTAATGTGGTGCTGAGGATTGAACCCAGGGCCTTGCACATGCTAGGCAAGCACTCTTCCACTAAGCCACAACCCCAGTCCCTAATTTAAAAAAAAAAAAAAAGCCTTTATTTTATTTATTTTTATGTGGTGCCGAGGATCAAACCCAGTGCCTCATACATGCAAGGCAAGCGCTCTACCCCTGAGCTACAACTCCATCCCCAGAATCATATAATTAATATGTGGTGATTTCTGATCCTAACTTAGGGCGACAAGTCAGCAGTGAGTGCCAAGGGGAGATGTTAGATTACCGACGCATGCTGATGGAAGACTTCTCTTTGAGCCCTGAGATCATCCTGAGCTGTCGAGGGGAGATTGAGCACCACTGTTCTGGATTACATCGGAAAGGGCGAACCCTGCACTGTCTAATGAAAGTTGTTCGGGGGGAGAAGGGGAACCTTGGAATGAACTGCCAGCAGGCGGTAAGGAAATTTTTTCTACTGCCACCTTGACTGTCACATTTTATTAGCTTATTGGCCTCGCCCTGACACTGTCCCAGCTTGCTTTTTCTCTATCATTTCTGTCATCACAGTGGAACATTAGGTACTAAGGACCAGACAGAATCTGGTTTCTTTGAGCATTTATTAATAGGAAAATAGAATTTCCTTGCAGAATAAAAGTTAGAGCTCATAATCAACAAAAAGACCAATATACTATAAAGAAAATGCATTGTTTACTATAGTTTCTAAAGAAAGGGTCATCACATGCTCTACTAAATTTACTGAACTCGTTGAACCAGGTTCTGATGAATCATTAAAGGGCTTTAACCTCTCCATACATTTTATTGAGCTGAATGTGAAAGTGAATTGACATGAGCTGAAACTTCTAAGAGTGTCTTTTTATTACTGATATGCAGCATGGCCTGAAGTATCAAGAAAGCATGTTATTTTCAAAATTGCACCATTTTCTCTTTAAGTTTTTTTTTTTTTTTTTTTTTTGGTAGTTATAGATGGACAGAATACCTTTATTTTATCTGTGTATGTTACTAACCGTCAAACTCAGGCCTCGCACATGCCAGGCAAGCCGCTCTCCACTGAGGTACAGCCCCAGCCCACACCACCTTTTCTTATTTGACTAGGGCACTGTGAGTGGAAGGTTCTCCTTTTGCCATCCCCAAATTTTACAGTGGATTCTATAAAGCTAGTTGGAAGAATTCACACCCTTTTGTTTAATCCAACTTAATAAAAAGTTGAGTTACTACAAATGAGATATTTGATGTAGTTAAAACATTTCAGTATATTTTATCTGTTTTATTACTGTTGTATTTGTTTTGTTTTTTTTTTTTTTTTTTACTAGATACTAGTCTTTGAATAGTTTAAAATACCAAATAAAATAGTAGTACTCTCTACAATGAACTTTCCTTTTGAAAGCACAAGGATATTTTAGATATCCTAAAGTAGAAAGTTGAGGCTTTATCCTAAATGAAACTTTAGAAAACTACAATTAACCTTTTATTTTATAACTGAAATTTTTATTAAAAACTAAGTATTACTTGAATTTTATTTTCCTGCTAATCATGTAAAAAATTCAGAATTTTATAGTTGGAAGCAAAATTTTACCGACTGAAACAGATTTAGACATGGAATAAAATTTCATCAGGCAGAAGTGTGCATAGTTGTATGTGAACATCCCATGGTAGAAAAAATAGACAAATGTAGCCTCTTGTAGAATACCAGTCCCAGCCCGGTGTGGTGGCACACATCTGTAATACCAGCGACTTTGGAGGCTGAGAAAGAGGATTGCAAGGTCAAGGCCAGCCTCAGCAACTTAATGAGGCCCTAAGCAATTAAAAAAAAAAAAAGAAGGGCTAAGGAGGGACTGGGGTTGTAGCTCAGTGGTAGAACACTTGCCTATCATGTGTGAGGCCCTGGGTTCGATCCTCAGTACCACATAAAAATAAACAAACAAAAATAAAGATATTATGTCCAGCTACAACTAAAAAAAAAATATTTAAAAAGGGGAGGGGTTTGGGGATATGGCTCAGTGGCTAAGCATCCCTAGGTTTAATCCTCAGTACCAATGAATGAATCAATGAATGAATAAAAAAATCCCAGGCCCAGCTAGAAGAATAGCTTCTAGAATCTGCTGTGGTTTGAGTTTGTCACTATGTAGTTCCTTAGGAGCAGTTCTTGCTGGTGATTGCCCTAGGAAACCTCTGTGCCAATAAATGTGCCGGGGCCCCAAATCAAGAATGAATTGGGGGCTGGGGTGGTGGCTCAGTGGCAGAGCGCTCGCCTCCCACGTGCAAGGCCCTGGGTTCGATCCTTAGCACCACATAAAAATAAATAAAATGCGGGGCTGGGGATGTGGCTCAGGCGGTAGCACGCTCCTCTGGCATGCGTGCTGCCCGGGTTCGATCCTCAGCACCACATACCAACAAAGATGTTGTGTCCGCCAAGAACTAAGAAATAAATATTAAAAATTCTCTCTCTCTCTCTCTCTCTCTCTCTCTCTTTAAAAAAAATTTAAAAAAAAAATAAATAAATAAAATAAAAGTATTTTAAAAAATGTATTGGGAGACAGCCTTTATTTGCCCTTCATCCTGAACTCAGAACAGAAAGTTGTGGAGGGAAGTCAGAAGTAAGCCTGTCTTTTTACTCAGCCTAGACCTGTAGTGAAGTGTACAGAAAAAAAGAAAATAGACTGATTTAACTTTATTTTCAGGCATCTAGTTCACCCCCAGGGCTTTTTGGAATTTAGCCTGTTGAAAAAACTAGTGACTCAACTTGAAAGATAAATAAGTACCACCCATGGCAGCCTTTGTGCTCAGAAGAAAGTGCTTTCCAAACCTAGAGAGAGGGTAGCCTCAAATAGCGAGCTCTGGGGTTTTGCCCACATGAAGACTTGGCAAGTAGAAAAGAAATACTTTATTTTTTATTTTTTCTCACAAAAACTGAAGGTATTTCTTCAAAGAAAGAAAATTTCGTAGTCTTCTCCTGCATTATCCATTCTCAATCAAACAGAGTAATATTTTGAAACAATTTATTTTCAGACTTTTCTTCCTTGACATCAATACCTGTCTGTGGTTAACCATTATTTTTCACTCCTCTCTGCTTGGACTGATTTAGTGATAGCTCAGCAAGTAGTAAACTGTAAAGCATAAGGACAATTATTATCTTTTTTTGCGGGGGTACTGAGGATTGAACTCAGGGGCACTTGACCATTGAGCCACATACATGTAGGGCTCACTGAGTTGCTTAGCGCTTCACTGTTGCTGAGTGTGGCTTTGAACTGTGGATTCTCATGCCTCAGCCTCCCAAGCCTCTGGGATTATAGGGGAGTGCCACCACACCCAGTCATGAACTATTAACTTCCCTTCAGGCCTGGCTATATGAGTTTAGGCGAGCCTCTTCCAAATCAAAAGTGACTGTCCAGTTTATCTGTAGACTATTCATTTCTCCAAAGCTTTTTCCAGGTTTTCATAAGCATGTCAGGGGTTGGAATAGATTTGCTGTCATCAACTAATCGTGGTCTTTTTTATGTTTTCCAAATTGTCATCAAGAATTGATATAAATAACTTCCATTACAGAATTCAGGAAATCTTTCATGTTTCTCTCTTGATTATTGACTTCTTTTAACATAATAGAATAGGTTTTTTTCTTCATTTCCTTTGATCTGCAATCTCTGATAAATAGGGATTTATCAGATGATATCAATCCTATGGGATTGCAGGTCAGAGGATAACAGATCAGAGAAAGGTCCTAGAGAGGGTAAGTCAATAACACAAAAAGGCCTCCAGTTCTTTTACTTGGAAAAAGATAACTTAAACCAATAAGAACTGTAGTTTTCAAAATTTTTTTTCTCTTATTTAAGATCACCTCCCCAAACACCATATGTCACCCATCTGTAGTAAAAATGATCTTTTATGTCTATAAAATGCTTTGCAATGTACCCATTCTTTTCCCAGATAGTATAATTTCTTATATTCTGCAGCTAAAGGAAACCAAAACTTGGAGATTAATCAACTTGAACATGTTCTCAAAGCTAATATTGAGCAGAGCCAGAGCCATTGATAGAATTCATGTCTTCTAGTCCTTGTTTTGGAGTTTTTTTCCTCTGTGCCTCAACTGCTTTCTTCTGCATTGAATTTATTCCATGGCAAAGGATGAACCAAGCAAAAGTAGATCATAAAGAATATCATATTCATCCAGGTGAGGTAGCACATCCTGTAATTCCAATGGCTCAGGATGATGAGGCAGGAGGATTGTAAATTCAAGGCTAGCCTCAGCAACATAGCAAGGCCTTAAGCAACTTCATGAAACTCTGTCTCATGAAGCATACCTGGGTTCAATCTCCCATATCGAGGCCTTGAGCCATGCTACGCAAGTGTTATACCACTCAGCTACAATCCTCCTGCCTCAACACCTCCAGTAACTGGGATTATAGGTGTGTAGCACCATACCCAGAAGTATACTAGTTTTAATACCAATATGATTCCAGCAAATTCTAAATTCATTTTAGGACTGAATTAGGTCTGTAACTAGATGTGTCTTCTCATTACTCTCCTCCGCTCAACTCTGGCTTGGCCCAAGAAGTTTAGTGATCTGATAACAAGTGAGCACATAAGGAGGGAGAAGTAGCCTTCAGGTCACATTACAAAGATGTGTTCTTATGCAGATGGTTTGGAAGAGGTAGATAAAGCCATTTTCACAATGAGTTGAACAGAAAAACTTGGATCAAGGTGGACAAAACAGTTGAAAAGTATTTGGCAGAAGTTCTTGAGTTTGGCCAGTGACAAGTGTAGTACTGTTAAAGTACGTTGTGATGTACTAGACTGAGAAATCATTGTATGATGGGATGACACTGCTATTCTCTGGTGCCTAGGTGACTTTCTTTCTTCCTTCTTGATTTTCTTTTTTTTTAAATCCAGCTGCAAACACTGATTCAGGAGACAGACCCTGGTGCAGATTACCGCATTGATCGAGCTTTGAATGAAGCTTGTGAATCTGTAATACAAACAGCCTGCAAACACATACGATCTGGAGACCCAATGTAGGTTATCTTATTTGTGTGTTCATCCATATTGCATTTTACTTGGCAGCACAGGGAACTTTTCCTCAAATGACGTTTGTGTGATTTAACATCTTGACTAAAATTTTGTGGAGTAGGAACACGTACAGACTTTTGCTAAAACTTGGAATTCAGACTTCTGATCTGCCTCCTCCACGTAGAAGAGACACTTAGAAACAGTACGGTGATGATGCTGTTGACAATGACTGAGAGTGCATGGGCCTGTTAGGTCACTGAGCAACTATAATGCTGATGAAAATGAGAGAAAAAAATATTCAAGATAAAGTGATACATACACTGGTACTCTGTATTTTTCATCCTATTTATATATTGACTCATTGCACACATTGGCTACTTGATAATTATCAGAAAGCAGTTCATTGTAATTGAAACAAAACAAATGTGGTAGTAGGAGCATGTAGTCATGGCAGAATGAACACTAGAGGTGCATCTAAGATCTAGGAAAGCTGAATAAATGTTATGGAAAAGCATTTTATTCTCTTGCGTTAGTTTTCTTCTATATGATGTGAAAACTGTTCTCAAAACCAGGTTGCAAGTAAGAACAGGTTTTCCATTCTGCAAAAATCTTTATAGCTTGTAGCTAATAGTACCTAGCAATAAAGTGAAGAGAATCCCGGTTTATCTTGAATCTGCTGTGTGAAAATTCCTTATGCTTAATAAGAATATTTAGCAATATAAAGATAAATGCATCAACCAAAAAGGGCACCAGAGAGGAGGAGGAAGAAAGGGAACTGCTATGGATTCAGAGATTTAAGACATTTTTCAGTTGAATGCAACGTGTGGGCCTTTGCTGGGTCCTAATATGAACAAACGTGTAAAAAGATATGAGATATGGGGCTGGGGTTGTGGCTCAGTAGTAAAGCACACGTGAGGCCCTGAGTTCGATCCTCAGCACCACATAAAAATAAATAAACAAAATAAAGGTTAGAAAAATATATATATGAGGTTATTGGGAAAATCTGAAAATGATCAGGATATTACATGATATTAAAGATTTTTTATTTCTTGGTAAGGTCACTATGGTATTTTGATATTTTAGAGAAACTTTCTGAATTGAATGAATGAAATGATTTGGTATCTCAGATTTTCTTTAAAATATCAGCAGGGGGAATAGAGTTAAAATGAACTTGGCCACTCTGCGAGGAGGTTAAAGCGACCAGTATATCATTCTCTACTTTTGTGAATTGGAAATTTTTCATAATAAATAGTTAAAAATAAAGTAGCACAGATCTTATGTACACCAGGTTCTAAGTGATGAATGGCTCTGATGTTGATAAAAGATGTAATTGCTATCAGGCTGAATTGATTTGTGTGATTCTAAGAAAAATAAATCCAATTGCTGTAGGAAAATGGCTGAAGGACTTTTTCTACTGACCAAGGAAATATTATATTGAAGTGAGAGTTCGGAAACTGTAATCAGAGCTCTTCTCTTGTTACAATTTTACCTTCTTTATGGTTAGGATCCTTTCATGCCTGATGGAACATTTATACACAGAGAAAATGGTGGAAGATTGTGAACATCGACTCTTAGAGCTGCAGTATTTTATCTCTCGGGATTGGAAGTGAGTATTTTGAACAGTGTAAGGCACTGATTTAACCTGTTCTTATGTGTTGTCAGAGAGAGAGAGAGAGAGAGAGAGAGAGAGAGAGAGAGAAGGGGATTTAGTGCTGGGCTTTGAAACTAGGGCTTTGTACAGTCTGTACCAAGCATCCCTGTGCACCACTGCTTTGAAAATCAGGGTCAGAATGGTTCTGATACCACAAACACTATCTAGAAAGAACTCTGGCATCTGTGGGGTCAACAAAACCATCTTGACATGACATTAGGAAGATGATAATGCATTTGTGTCTATTGATTTGCACTGGGTATGGGAATTTGTTTTTATTTCTTTTTTTTTTTTTTTTTTTTTAAAGAGAGTGAGAGAGGGGGACAGAGAGAGAGAGAATTTTAACATTTATTTATTTTTTCTTAGTTCTCGGCGGACACATCTTCGTTTGTATGTGGTGCTGAGGATCGAACCCGGGCCGCACGCACGTTAGGCGAGCGCGCTACCGCTTGAGCCACATCCCCAGCCCCTGTTTTTATTTCTTTACTGTTTAAAGTTATTGAATTTATTCTATCTTGAGAGATGACAACTTGATTCTTTAATTCCCTTCTCATCCTGTTAGCAAAAAAAAGGGGGGGGGGGCTGACATAGGAGAAGGATCTCTGTTATAATCAGAATCATTGTGGTTTATTGGCTGCATTTCCATCCTCCTTCCATGTTTTGTTTTCTTTCCCACTTCCATAGCCACCTGTACTGGGTCACACTACTTTGTAAGTTTAGGTGCTTCCTGATTCAGTTGTTTAAGCTACTGTATTGTGGTCATTAGCCTTTTCTGGTGACTATATTTTGCCTTCAGTGTTTTAGTAGAAATTACTTGAAGATCCAATATGTTTTTATTTCTATCCCTTCAAATTAACTCAGGAAAGGACTGCAGAAAGCTGGGTGGTAACTGCCCTGTGCTTCCTCAGGCCCTCAGAACTGAAATAACCAAGAGTATTGAGTATGCCCCCTTGATCAAAACTATGGTTTCCCCTCTTTATTCTTTCCCCCATGATCAAAAAATTACTTCATAGTCTTAAAAGTGTCTTCTTAAATATTAGCTTCTCTCTTCCCATTATGTAGCCCTTCCTCACAGTTAACAATATAATGTGGAAAGAATCAACACTCCCTTGATCTGATTTAAAGAAGCAGGCTCATCATCTAACCCACTGTCCCAAGATTCAAAGTTAAATGTCATGTTTTATAATTTTATAAATATATTTAGGTAAACTAAAAGATGACTGTTTTACCTTGTATGGGAAAAGAAAGAGGAACAGTATTACTAGAGAGAAAGTTGAGTAGGAGACATTTTCCTCACCTTTCTGGATCTGGTCTATCAGAGAGGAAGATGTATTTAGTGACAAGTTGTGAATTTCTTGGTGGCTATAATCCTGGCTTTCCTTTGTGACCTAGACATGTGAATGCTGAGTCTTACTGTAACGTTAGGTAACTTCCATAACCAAGATAAAATCTTTGAGGTAGAAAGTGGACTTCAGTATGAAGTTAACAAACTTCTACAGATTGACTACCATGTGTCCACTAAGAGCAGCATTCAGGAACATACTTCTGCTTACCTACTGTCTCTGCTATTCTGGAGGTGATTATCAGTGAGTACATCAGCAAGCATCTGCTGAAAACCCATAGCCTGTCTGAGAAGGAAAATTGTTACTCTTTGTCTTCTAGGCTGGATCCTGTCCTCTACCGCAAGTGCCAGGGAGATGCGTCTCGTCTTTGCCATACCCATGGTTGGAACGAGACCAGTGAACTTATGCCTCCCGGAGCTGTGTTCTCTTGTTTATACAGACATGCCTACCGCACTGAGGAGCAGGGAAGGAGGGTATGCAATCAACTTTGGTTTCTTCCTGTCATTTGTTTTTTGTTTGTTTGTTTTTGTTTGTTTAGTTTTTTTTAATATTTTTACTTATAGGTGGACACAATATCTTTATTTTACTTTATGCAGTGCTGCGGATCGAACCTAGTGCCTCACGCATGCTAGGCGAGCACTCTACTTCTGAGCCACAACCCCAGCCCTGTCATTTGTTTATTTGTGGGGAGGATGTTGTTGTTCTTCTAGAAAGTTGTTCATTTAGCGAGCATCCCTGCAGTTGCTCACCCACTTCTTTTCATCTGATTATGTTTTTAACGAAGTGAGTGGGTGAACATATCCAGGTTTTTTCTTTAAATTACTAAAATCTGAATCATAAATGGACAATTAAAATTCTGGTCCTAACTTTATTTAGCTTTAAAGATCCATTAGAAGCTTTTAGCCAGGATACAAATGGTTCTTAAGGCTTTTGCCCCTGACAGCTGAACACAAATGCCTGTACTAATGAGGCTTCTCTGACAATGCACCAGTTGGAACAGAAACTTCCACACCCCAGTCTCTTGGTATTTGCCCCATTGCTGCTTTTGGGTGTGGTTTTTGTGTATCCTTGGCTCTCAGGCAGCATTGACTGCCTGCTAGTGCCTCACTGGCATCCTGGTTGCTCTCCAGAAGGACTTTTTTCACACCTTCTGGGAGACCCCTACTTGCATACATGTCAGTTCTGCATTTGTTAGGAAAGCGTGGCATTACTTCATGAGCTTGTTTACAAGTACCCCTTCTGAGCTCAGTGCCCAGATCTATCTGACTATCTAGGATTCAAAAGAGGACTGAAGTAGAAAAATGTACTTCAGTTGCTATTAGTCTAACCCAGTTTTCTACAGCTATGTAAGAAAACATGGGACTTGTTTTACATTTTACTTCGTGTAATGAGCCTCTCATTAACTACAGGGGCTCCCAAATCCTGGCATCTAGCTAGTCACTATAGTAGGAGGTTCTAGCTCTTACAAATGAAGAAAGGGATGGAATCTGATATGCTAGCTTTTTTTTTTTTTAAATAAACACTTGAAGTATTGAGGTGAAATTCACAATATAAAATTAACCAGTTTAAAGAGAAAAATTCAGTGGCATTTGAAAAATACATTAACAATATTGTGTACCACCAGCTCTGTCTAGTTTCAGAACATCACATGACTCCAAACACTAAGAAATTAAATCTATATTTCTTGCCTTAGGTGTGCTGCCTTCTTTAGGAAGAGACATTTAAAGTACCTGTCAATGACAGCTTTTTATGGCCCTTCCAAAACTATCAGTTTCCACCTGCTTCACCTCTACTCATGCCACATAATTCATCTAGAAGAATCTGGCCTGGTCTAACTGGCTCCTGCAGTTGCCTGCCTCATTGTGAGGAACTGAGAATGAACTGAGCTCAGATGGAACTTAGTTCTCCTAAATCAAGTGTTATTCTTCCTGAAACAGATCTGATATTCTCTCCTACCCATAGAATGGCAAGTTAACTTTGCAAACCAGAAACTAACTTACCTGATCTGTATGAATTCAATTCATTTTTTAAAACATTTTTTTTAATATTTATTTTTTAGTTGTAATTGGACACAGTACCATTATTTTATTTATATGTGGTGCTGAGGATTGAACCAAGGGCCTCCCACATACTAGGCGAGTGCTCTACCACTGAGCAACAACCCCAGCCCCTAATTTAATTCATTTTTATCAGGATATTTTATTATGTTAAATATATGATCATACTTCTAGAGATATGGACTTTTAAAAGGCTCCTGGAACATGTAATTCTTATTCTGGAAGAGATTTGAGGTATAAAGTTTGGAAGATAAACTACAGAGATATTTTTTAGTTTCCTGAGAACAGCTTTGCTCTGTCTGGTGTCTTCATGTATATGTTTTGGTACTTTTAAAGTAAATTGTTAATTGATTGTCACATAGCTCTCCCGGGAGTGCCGAGCTGAAGTCCAAAGGATCCTACACCAACGTGCCATGGATGTTAAGCTGGATCCTGCCCTCCAGGATAAATGCCTCATAGATCTGGGGAAATGGTGTAGTGAGAAAACAGAGACCGGGCAGGTAGGCAACTGGGCTTCCTATTTGTTTTTTACTGTTAATGGCAATGTTTTATGACTTACAGTGAGATCCATCTTGGTGTTTGCTTTACAGCCTTGATTTATTATACTATTCGTATTCTCTGTAGAAGAAATCCTCAGGAAAATGTTCTTTGGTCTTTATATCAAGAATAATTGTCTTTTTCCCAAGTAGCTACTTTTTTTCTATATTATGGTTACTATATTTTGTAATTGATTATTTTCCCTCTTTGTGTTGGTTCTTACAAGGCTTAGAGCCAAAGGTTCAGCTACCTCTAACTAGCATATAGGATTTCATAGTAGGCCTTCTTGTATCAGGCTTGTTTATTGCTAGTTCCATTCCACTTTTCTTTTTTTACTCATTTTTAATTTTATTTTATCTTGCCTTTTTATTCCTGTTCTCACCTTTATAAACCACATTAAATCCTTCTGAAATAAGCAAAGTATTATTCATATACAAATATTGGTATGTATGAATAGTGTGCATGCCCCAGAACAGCACAAGATATCTGGAAATGGAATTATTTTTTCCACCTAGTTGACCAAATAGAGGCTCAGATAAGTAAAATGTTTTGACTACTTTCCTAAAATTCATGTTTAATCTGAGTGAGGTACTCATTCCCTTGTGTTATAAGCTCCCTGTAGAAAGTGCAAGGAACCCAGGGCCTCTCACATGCTAGGCAAGTGCTCGACCACTGAGCAACAACCCCAGCCCCGAATTTAATTCATTCTTTATTAGGATACTTTATTTATTTATTTATTTTCTTTAAAGATTGATGTGGCTTGAGCCACATCCCCAGCCCCATTAGGATATTTTATTATGCTGAACGTATGATCATACTTCTAGAGATACGGACTTTTAGAAGCCAAGAGTTACACAGGCTGGGAATAGTTCCTTAGGATCATGTGCCTGGTTTGTGAGGGAAAGGGAAAAATGGTACATGACTGGAGGTTACCTGGAAAGGAAGCGTTTTTTCTGTCATAAAGCAGGATAATCAGCAGTGAGAAATAGCTACTTGTTTAAAGCCACATTAATATTAGAATAAGGAGTGAAGTCAGGCTGAATTTGTACAACTATAAAGCCCTTTCTGGAATTAAAGTATTAAAAAGCCACATGTATAGGAATTGGACATTTTAAAGAAGCAACGTGGCTGCCTACTAGGTCTATTTTCAGCAGTCTGCTGCCTGAATGTGCTGTAGTTCTCAGGGTTTACTGTTAGAAAATGCCTATACTTTAGCTTTCTGCTGCATCCATCCAGTGGAACAAAGGACTTGTTGATATGGGATCCTGGGGAACAGTTTCCTTCATATTCCTCTGTAAAGTAAACGTTTAGGAAGCTGCACATATTCACTGAGCAGCTAAACCTAAGAAAGGACTCCATAGATGAGGTTTTTTTTCCTTAGCCATTTATTTATTTTACTCCCAAAAGGTTATTGCATTTATTACATTTAGGGTTTCCCCCCTTCCATTCTGATTATTGTATAATTCCTTCAACCCTTCTCCTCTCTTTCTATTCTAATTCTAAAACAGAGAGATTCCTGCAAAATGGTCAGTACATTAACCTGATCCCTTTACAGCACTCTTCTGAGAAGTAGCCATATTGCTTTGGAAAAGTGAGCTGATGTTGCACTTAAACCTCTGCTCCTCTAAGAGGAAAAATAATATACTAAGGCTACAGGGAAGCTTCAACTCAGTTTCAAAAGCATGGACAAAATAGCTTTTTAATATTTAAACTCTAGCGTGCTCCCTTCTTTTTAAGTTTACCTTAGAGGATCCTTTTAATAAGTGCTAGATCCTTTTAATGTGAATCCTAGATCTGACTTGTAGGAACTTTAAGCTCTACCCTGTATTCCAAGTCCTCTGTCCCCATCTACTTTGCCCATGCAGAGTCTTAACATAATTCATGCCTTTCACTATGAATTTATTGTCCTGTGATCATTATCAAATTGCAGATTTAATATGGAAGGTAAAAAAAAATAATCAAAACACAGATTAAGGAGCTGGGGTTGTGGCTCAGTGGTAGAGTTCTTGCCTGGCATATGTGAGGAACTGGGTTCGATTCTCAGCACCGCATATAAGTAAATGAACAAAGTAAAGGCCCATTAAAACAAACAAACAAACAAACAAAAAAAAAACAGATTAAGCCAGGCACAATGGCACACACCTCTAACCCCAGCAGCTCAGGAGGCTGAGGCAGAATGATCACAAGTTCAAGGCCAGCCTCAGCAACTTATACTTCTCAATAGTGAAACCCTGTCTCAAAATAAAAAATGGATTGGAGATGTGGCTCAGGGATTAAGTGCCCCTGGGTTCAATTCCCAGTACCAAACAAACAAACAAACAAAACCCCACAGATTAAAAGGGGAATGGCTGGGCTGGAGATAAAGCTCAGTTGGTAGAGTGCTTACCTTGCATGCATAAGGCCCTGGATTCAATCCCTAGCACCACACACACACACACACACACACAAAAAAAAAAAAAAAAAAAAAAAAAAAAAAAAAACCTGGAGTGGCAGGGTGTTGACAGAATGGAATAAAAGCCTGATAAGATGTTTAGATTTTGAGGATCTTATTGGACTTCTAGATTTGGCCTCCTGTAATATTTGCATTTCTCTACTCCCTTGGCCCCCTTAAGTACCCTGCTACAGAGAGTAATTATCTTTTCAACAATCTTAGTTTGGTGAATCAAATTAAACTTTTGTGTTCTATTCAGTGAGATAGTGATAGTTTTAAGAGGAAAAGGAGGACCAGTTCAAAAGAAGTAGAAACTGGTATTCGCAACTTCTGTTGTTTATTTATGGGACTGATGAATACCAAGGGCTTGCCTTTTTATGCACAGGAGCTTGAGTGCCTCCAGGACCATCTGGATGACTTGGCTGTGGAGTGCAGAGACATAGTGGGCAACCTCACCGAGTTAGAGTCAGAGGTAAGCCATATGCAGCTCCCTGGAGGAGATGGGCCTGCCAGCAGCCTGACCTTTTTGCTCAGTTCTGTTTCTGTACTCTTGAGAATATAGGTCCTCTGTCAATCAGAAGAAACCTAATCAGACCCTCCCCATTTGCTTCGTAAAAAAGTTTATTGGGTTGTTTCCTGACCCCTTCCCTCATTTCTCTAGAAAAACCCTGGATGCATTTGGCCCTTTGGTTTTCTTCATAGAGTTATCATAGTGACTGGACCCTTAAGAAAAGCTAGCTCCTACCCCTCTGATCTCTGAATCTCATTCAAGAGTAATCTAAGTGTTCCTCATCTCTTACCCTTCTTAGCTCTTTTAGTTAGGTCATTTGTAATTTTCAAATGTAATAAAGTAAAAGCCTGGGGCTGCCAGTTACACTTGACATTTGAACACATGTTTAGCCCTGTTCCATCCTGAAACCCACTAAAATATCAAACATAAGATTTAAAATCTTCATAGGCACAGGCATGTTATCCAGAACTACAGAGATTATTACTGTGGTGGGGAGACAGCCAAAAATGCTAAACTTCTCTTATGGGGGCAAAAATAGGTAATTGTTCTTTTTTCATCATAAGCCTTTTTAGTACGATCTGAATTGTCAAAATTGGCATAACATAAAATTACATTTCTCGATCAATCCTTCTTTGCTTTCTAGTTTTCAAAAGCACATTGCTTTCTCTCATCTTGGGTCATCTCCATTCCCATTCTCATTGTCCCTGTGGGCTGATGAGGACATTCTCAGTTTGTCACTCTTGATGGAAGATGTTACTTCAGTCACTAGTGCTACCCTCTGTTGCTCTGTTTAAAGGCATTTTAGCAGGTGTTCACCAGAGCAGTAGCTCATCAACTGGTCTAAACTCAGTGATCTGGATTATGAGCTTGTAAACAAAATCCAGTTACGCTGTTTTCATTTTGAACTGTGTGGTGTTTTGGAAACACTCTAGTATCATCATCCCACCTTTCTTAATTCTGTATCCTCTTTTGTTCAGGTACAAGGGGAATCTGCCTCTAGAAAATTTGCCTTTTAGAATATAATGAAGAAACAGTTCAGTGTATTTCTGGAACTGGGTAACTTAAATACTAGAATAGTTTTTAATGCACATACTGGATTATTTGCCCATTGATGCTCCTGATTTAGAAGGAGAAGCTGCTATTCTTCTACCCCTGGCTTTTTCTAAAGCAAAAAGATTAATCTCTTTAATCTTCTACAGGATATTCAAATAGAAGCTTTGCTGATGAGAGCCTGCGAACCCATAATTCAGAACTTTTGCCATGTAAGTGATGTCTGGAGGAACAAGAATTAGAAATAGAACCAAATTCATTGGGACTCTGGTCCTGAGGGTGTTGAACTTACCTCTGTCTTCGGCATACATTCCTCCCAGGTGACAGGCATCTTTGACAAGTGAAAGCTGAAAACATGCCAGGCATAGTGGTGCATACCTGTAATCCCAGCTACTTGGGAGGCTGAGGCAGAAAATTGCAAGTTCCAGCCAGAGCATCTTTGTGAGCATAGGTCTCAAATTTTTAAAAAGGGTGAGGGGTGTAGCTCCTGGTAGAGAACCTCTCTGGTATCCCCAATACCACCAAGGAAAAAAGTTGGAAATGTAAACAATAGTTCAAGAGAGAAGGCCCACCCTGGCAAACTTTGTTTGATTAGCCTTTGTAGGTGACAATGTATGTGGGTAACATTGGTAGTAGAGATGCCTTCTATAAGAAAAGATACAAAAGGGACGCCCCTTAGTAGCATGGTTGAATTGTTAGCAGTTGTAATAATGACTGACTTTTCATATCAGCTATACTTCAATGTTGAATGAATTCTGTTACTTTATTACTTACTCATTTGTTGAACTACCTAAATTGTGGTAATAAAACACACCTAGGAACTTTTAGGACATGACATCCAGGAGGCTATTAGATATTATCTCAAAAGCCAGCTGCTGGCATCATGTAAGGGCACTGAGTAAAAGCCCTCATAGTATATATTCTTGCCTCATGTACAATTTGGTGTGTAAATTTGTCCCACTAAATGTTTATCTTTTGTAATTTCTCAGACTTGCTTTGAATAATTTGGGGGCTGGGGTAACTGGGGATTGAACTCCAGGGCACTCAGCCACTGAGCCACATTCCCAGCCCTAGAGACAGGGTCTGAGTTGCTTAGCGCCTCACTTTTGCTGAGGCTGGGTTTGAACTTGCGATCCTTCTGCCTCAGCCTCCTGAGCCACTGGGATTTCAGGTGTTCACCACTGTACCGGGCCTTACTTTGAGTAATTTTTTTAAAAATATTTTTTTAGTAGTAGGTGGACACAGTACCTTTATTTTTTATATATGTGGTGCTGAGGATCGAACCTAGGGCCTCACAATGTGGGATGAGTGCTCTACCACTGAGCCACAGCCCCGGCCCTGAATAATTTTTGATTTATCTTTTTTATGAAAGCTTATAGAATCAATCCTATTTCACTTTTCCCAGAATAAGCTATAGTTTTTATTCACTTAACCGTTGCAAATGAAGTGTAAGTATGTGCTGTTTTCCCCAGGATGTGGCAGATAACCAGATAGACTCTGGGGACCTGATGGAGTGTCTGATTCAGAACAAACACCAGAAGGATATGAACGAGAAATGTGCCATTGGAGTTACCCACTTTCAGCTGGTCAGTGACACTGGCCTGTCAATTTCCTATCTTAGCTGCTTGGTTGACTACTGAACCTCTTCTTCTTTTGGAACATCAGAACAACTCTGCTGTTCCTAAAAAATCATTTTTTGCCAAGTATATGTCCTATTTTAACTGTTCTCAATAAATATAGTTTTTCTCTAATGTGATTAAACACTTTGTTAGGCTCCTTGACATCAATGATAAATAAGACATGGTCCCTTTTCCTTAGGGAGCGTTTAGTCTAGGGAGAATAGAGATAAGTAAACAGGCATTTCCTGCGCCAGTCACAGAACTCCTGTGAGATGGGTAGGCTTCTCCTTTAATGATTAGTGTCCCTGGAATCTCTTGTTTTCTGTTATCTGTTCAGTACAGAAGCCTTTTTTTCTTCTAAATCATGCAACCCAGATCTGATAGTTGAATAAAAAGTTAGACTATACTTTGTGGTTACACAGGTGACTAAGAAGTGTTTTGGTATAGCAAGTGCTTCCTTCAGGGAAAATGAAACTAGTAACCTGAGCACATTGACCTCTTCTCAGACATGTAGACCACCTGCCTGCATTCCATCAGGTTAATGAGTACCCCTGCCCTGTGGACTCTAGATTTGAGTAAGACAAAGACACAAAAACAAGTGTACAAATGACTGTACAGTCTCAGGATGAAAAACTGAGGCAGGGGGTAAAGGGTGAAGGAGAAAAGGGGTTTCACCAGGAGGTACTAGAATAGAAACTTGAATGAAGTGGCAGAGAAAATCCCAAAGTCCTCAAGACAGGACAGTTATGCAGGGTCCCGTGAGCAGGCTTCTGAAAACTGTATGATCAAAATGTCACCCACCACTATTGACCACAAAGTGTATAAATTAGGCACAGTATGAGATTAGTATGAATAATTTAAAATAAAAAAGAGTAGAACAAAATAATAAAAGTTTTATGGATGATTTTTCTATCTCAATCTCTCTCTCTCAGTCTCTCAATCTCTCTCAATACTATAGATTTCAGCAAAATCACAAAGCTTCTGATTTTCTTTCTCATCATCTTTCAGGTACAGATGAAGGATTTTCGGTTCTCTTACAAGTTCAAAATGGCTTGCAAGGAAGATGTGTTGAAACTTTGCCCCAACATAAAAAAGAAGTATGTACTTCTTAATTGATCTGTTAGCTGCTAAATGACTATCCAGGATATCGGGCAGTAGCAGAAGCAGCCCTAGAGATCTTCTGTGCCTCTTCTTTGGTAGTATAGCCATACACTTGGATTGCCTTGACAAGTCGTCTTCATAGCTCCCCAGAAGAACTCCTGGTGTGGGAGTTCTCATAAGGAGATACCATAGGCTATGGGGACATCATTAATTTTTCCAGGTTAATTGGTGAAACAGATGCAGATTGTATACTTAAGAAGTAAGCTTCAGGGCTGGGATTGTGACTCAGCGGTAGAGCGCTCACCTAGCATGGGCGGGCGGGACCCGGGTTCCATCCTCAGCACCATGTAAAAAAAATAAAGGCATTGTGTTGTGTCCATCTACACCTAAAA